ACGGGCTGTCCCAAAGCCGAATCCTACTTGTTGTGACAGATGACTCACTCAAGGGGGTATTCCGATGATATGGTCATTCGATAATACTGATTTGTAATGTTGATAAAAGCCTTGAACAGCTGCGTGCAACAAGAAAACTATAAGACACTTTTATTTATTCTCTCATGTGATGCTCACTTATCAAGACAGCTTGCTTAAGCCGGTCTGAGACGCCGGCGGTTTTGTGTAACATGTAATATATATATATATATATGTGTGTTTTTGAATTGTCTCACTTCAATTGAGTCCGGACACACCTATGGCAGAGCGAGCGAGAGAGGTAGGAGGCACCTTGTATGTGTCCCCGTTGGGGTCAGACCCGATGAATGGACCAACGAATGACGTCACTAATGACACATGATGGACCTCTAAAAAACGTCGGATGGACCTCTATTCCATATTTTATAGAAGTATCGAGCACCTATCTCCATCCCTCTTTTAAGACCACCTATCCCATGCAGCGGAAACCAACGCGCTGGAACAGGACGTGCCGACGACCTGGTCACGAACAGGACGACAGGACGTGTCTATTGGGGATCACATCCATGTCTGAGCAGGTGTCTATTGTGCTAACCCACAGTTTTCGCCCACGACTCACACATGTTGATTGAGGCGAAAGCTTTGGGATGGCTCCGGCGACTTCCACTGGGCGCGCGCCTTCTCCAGTGGTGGGATTGACCTGTCTCCCCACAGTCGGCAAGCCTGCGGTGGCCGCTTTCTTCATGTTTGCTTGGTTGAAGAATCGGGTCTACAAAGTCTAAAAAGACGGGTTTTCTTGGTGAGGGACGGATGGACATTTCTCAACGAGGTTTCAAAGCTGGGTGTGTTTACTCCATTTCCTCCGGGTGCAAATGGAGGAGACGGCAATGGAGTGGAATAGAAGCTGCCTTCTAGGAGCCGAAAAGGGACGCCAAATCATAATGCAAGCAAATACATGAGTCACAACGGAGGTTCCTGGAAGAAAGTATTCCAAACATGTCCAAGAAAATGACAGGGTCGCCTCACGACCCTCACAAGGCGATACCCTGTTTCTGATTCAATGTCTTTATATGCCAAAGCAATGCAAACCGCTAGGGACAGAATTGGCTCTAGTTTATTACAAAACGACAACATGAACATGGAGTCTAATTATGATACGTTAAACCTTGTTGATACATGTTGTTTTTTGTTTAGTCCTCACGATCCATTGAATATGAGCCATTCCACCAATGTAGACAGTGTCCCTCTGAGTGGTTGGATTTACACGTCCTCCAACCTCTGGACGCACGCTACTGCGCTACAGGTCACGTCCGCCTCACGACACGACCACCGAAACATCGAGGCCAGCTGATGCAGCAACATGCGAAGCGATGCACATTGGATGGCCACTGGTCGACCGACATGGCTGGAAGAAGGGGCAATCGGACCGTCAACCGTCCACGGTTGAGGAGTGGAGCCCTGGTTGTTTTTCCCTTCGAAAGCGTCCAAACCGTGGAGCTCTTAGGCTCCAGGAAGCCCAGGCGCCGTCGGCTGACACGTTGATTGGTCTTCGGAAGCCGAATCCAGATCCTGACGATCCATGGTGAATCAGGTTGCGGTCAGGGTGGTGCTGGCATACTTTTTCGTGTTTGGCCCACTGCTAAAGGAAGGACGACTTGCAACATGAGGATCAAATTTGCTTGGTCTTACCAGTTGGGATGCAGGTGCTCGATACGGATATGGATGGTAACGGAAGGTGTTTTATTCTGTGTGAGCACAGGGTGTGTTTGATATGATATACATGAATGAGTATGTTTGGGAACAAGCAGATCTGAACTCTACCAGACTGGTAGCCCCATGTTCATACAAACAAATCTGGTGTGGCTGTGTTGGTGGTGTTTCTTTGGCATAGTTTCTTTTGTTACTAGTAGTTTCTTGTTCTAAGTAGTGATTGCCTCCAAACTACTTGCAATGGCCTCCACCTAATAGCGTCCTAGTTACTAGTAGTTTCTTTTGTTTCACGATGTCCCAAACACCTGGCGAGTGGCTGAAGGGCTTTGAGACATCGTGCGAGTATATATCTGTCAGAGCCTCCACCAGCAGGACTAGCTAAGGCATCTGAGGCTGTTTATAGGGCGTTAAGAGTTTCTTAGGTGGTGCAGTGTAGCGTCAAACAGGATGACCGCATGACCGGGACAAGAAGCTACGATCGGGGCGCTCCTGGCATGACTACTAGGAACAAAGGTCATCTTTGCGCCTTGTGATGAATGAATTGAGGTCCTGCGATGATGGCGATTCTCCGGGATCACGACGGTGGCGTGGAGCGGTGCGGGTTGGCTGGGGTGGGGAGTTGCGGAGCGAGGAGTAGCGGATGACGACACCGAGTAGCATATACAAGCTCCTTCCTAGTAGTAAGGCCAGGAGCTATTAGTAGCGGTAGCGTCCTTGCTCCTAGTAGCGATGCCCTTTGTTACTAGTAGCTTCTTGTTCCGAGTATATTTTATTATAAGTCCTTTCAAATCAGTTTTGAAGATTGGTCGTCAAGACCATCTCCGCTTCAATTTTGGATGCAGGCTAGAGTGACAGTTTGGTGAACAGCCTCGGGTTGGAAAATGATTGTGAGATTGGTTTGACATTAAACCCAATCACGCGACACTGTTGCGACCCCGTCAAAGCCTTAATGCCAGGTTTGCATTCCCCTAGTTGTCAATGATGCACTTCATGACAACGCACCAGGATCATTGACCCATGCCCCATGCCATAAAACTTAAACAGTTGGCCAGTGAATGTAGATGAAGATCTCTTGCAGATGGAAGTCGGATGTTGGTACAAATAAATACTGCCGCATGTAGGGGCTCCATGGGTTTCGCAGCTTTGCAGTGGGCGGATCCATCGAACCTGAGAAGAGACAATCCTCCCCCCCCCAAAAAGAAGAGAAGACAATTCTCCCCCCGATAAAAAGAAGTCTTTTTGTGCGCAACAAAAAAGAGCCCCGGCAAAGAGAACAGATCGCCTCTGCCAGACCAAGGTGGGATCTGCATGCACGGCGCTTTTGAAACCACCTCCGCCATGGTCAGCGAGCTGCGGCGGCCCGCAGACGCTGCGGACAACCGCGCCCAGCTCGCCGTGGCGACGCATTGGTTCACAGGCGCGGCATTCGGAGAACTGGCAGATCTGGAAGTGGAGAAAAGGCTATTTGTATCCAAGGCATCCAAGCGACCCAGTGTCCTCCATTCTACACATCGCATGATGATTTCAGGGACTGTAGGGGAAGAAAGAACGACGCATGATTCGATGGGCTCACCTGTTCGGGGGGATAAACACTCTCCAACACCGGGGGCGTACCAGACAATCCCTTCTGGATAATTAAGAAGCACGGCCTCACTAATTCTTTAACAAGCTACAGGTGGAAGATGTGAAAGCCAAACACAGGCGTGCGTCCGAAATGACTTTGGACAGAGGAACATTCTAACATTCCTCATGGATTAATCCTCATTACAATACGTGTAGCTAAAATGGGAAACAAACTACAATATAGAGTAAATATGAGGAAATGTCCTTTCCCTCAAGTAGTTGTTCTGCAAAACCCAACGAACATTACAATCTTGATTCTCAGAAGAATCAAACCAAAGCAAACACATAATAGTTATGCAAAAAAGATATGGAAATCAAAGCAGGTACCACCCAATATAGGAAACCCGCCAGCAGTTGTTGGATTCCAACCTCTTCCCTGAAATTGTCCTTAATATGACCTTATAAACCCCTATTAAAACACCAGTGATTTTGCGAGACCTCGGTGGAAAGTGCGTTTGTGTTGCTCAGTGCCATTGGGGAACAGGACACATGCATGTGCAAATGTGGCGTGTTACTGGTGAGCGGCGCGATTATTGGTGATTCTCACAGTAAAAGAACGTAGAAGAAAGTAAAGCTGATAGTTAGAAGAAGCCTTTTCAGGTGTGTCCAACATGCCTTTGTTTTTGGTAATGTTCTTGACTGTCATATCACATGTGTGATATCATATAATTTGTTTGTGATATATATATATATAGTCAACATCTATCAGACCAAGAAGAAAACCGTTCCACGCTTCGGAAAAGCGCGCTTACGGGTCGCGACCCATTCGCGACCCATTCGCTGCACGGTGTACTGATCGGATGCTCGGTTTTCCAGACACCAAGAGGTTTGGTTGAGAAACACTTCCGAGTGTGAGCTAGTCCGTGTCCGTGTGCGTCCACGTCCGTCGGTGCTTTTTGTTGTATTTTTAAACAGGGTTTGATGGGATGTGGGACAGAAGCAAGCGTATGGCGGGACATGAGTTGAGAGCGATCCTCTCCTGACATGTGATTGATGAACATGAGACAGGATGCTTCTATTTTGGGAGGGTCACCTGAATAGAGAAATCTGCAGTATCCAAGTTCTGCCGCCCCAAGCGCCGAGATCATCATCAAACAGTAGATGACGACCCACAGGACCACCGGGCGGTCCCACTCCACCGGGCGGTCCCACTCCTGGCGCTCCAAGAGCCAGCGCTCCAAAAGAGCGCGTGCGAGAGCGCGTGCCAGGGAAGCCGCATCCTTGCAAGTGCGAGTTCATTGAGCAAAGCTTCTGACTGAGATGATTGGGTGCTTCAGTGCTTCTGACTGAATCCAAACCATTTGGATCCATTTGGGCCAAAGATTTGCCCTTGGATGGTTACAGTGAGACCCTGGAGTTGCTGGAAAAAGGTGAGACCCTGGAGTTGCTGATCAATGGCCTCACAAAAGGAGGCAATGGGCACCTGCAAGCTGGATGGCACCTGTGACACGAGAACATGAACGTCTAATTTGTTGAGCTGAGCAGAGCTGTGTAATCCAGGTGTCGCACTTGTAGCCGGTGCACTACTGTTGATGAAAGTTTTCGCATCCACTGGAACCACCAAAAGACCTATTCTCCATTCTGGCCTTCATCCCTCGGATGGGCAGCAGTCCCCCAAGCAAGAACGTTGCACCTTTCTTGCACGCCAGGAAGCTCAGGCAGATGCTTCTCCCTTTTGCGTGGAGGATGGAGAGCTGAAGGCGACGAGCCGAAGAGCGGATGTCTTCGTTTTTCGCCGGCGGTGTGACGTGACGAGAGTGGCGAGAAACTGACGTCGTACGAAGAACGGTTTACCTTCTTGCTAGATGGTTCTCACTCGTTTGCACCAACCTGGGTGCCAGTTGTGTTGACCTACAGGATCCACCGTGCTTTGTGATTATGGTAATTACAAAGGAGGTCTACTGATGTGTACTATAATATGTGTACTATATGTTTTTCAGTGTTTGTCGTGAGAAAGTTCGTAACAGATATCAACAGCTACTCAGTAGCTACCCGTGTGCCGTCGCAAAGGCCCGCGAAGCGAGTCACCCATTGGCCATTGAATGGGTTTGACGAAAAGCAGTTTGTGGGGTTGGTGCGTTTTTGCGGGGTGCCTCAAAGATCCTCAAAGCAAGTATTATGCCGACCCCGAAACAAATGTACTGATTTAGGGGGCTGCTGGCTGCAACCTCAGCGACTTTCTCCTGCCTTCCTTTTCTGCGGAACTCCTTGATGTAATCCGAATGCATGGAGTGAAGGAGTGCCTGAAAGCCTGCAAGCCTGGCGGTGGAACCCGGAGGTACGTTGACCTCCCCAGGAGTCTCGTTCAAACTGGTCTTCTCCGGTCGGTTCCCCCGATTCTGACCCCCTTTGCTTTACTCGTTGTACCTGACTCAGAATGTTTATTAGCTGTTAGCATCCCCATGTCCCCAATCCATCACCCCGAACTTGACAATCCCTCAAGCTGGTTGCTTTATCCTGCTTGTGGTCGCCAGATGCAATTACCATCAACTACCTATAGAAAAAATAACGATGTACATCTATGCACATGATCAACAATCAGAATGACCCCCTACGTCGTTTGGCAGGAACATTTTAACATTAGGCCGGGAAAAATCTATCAAAATGCATTCATAAGGGAATTTACTATAAACTGATGAATGAAGGAAAAGAAATACCAGGATAATTCACTCCAATGAATTCACTTTGTTCCTATTTGTACTTGTATTTGAAATTTCATGGAAAGGGAAAGGACATTAAAAGAAAAATACATCAAACAATCTAAACGATGTGTCAGAGAATGAGCAGGTCTTTTCAATGGCCTTTATCCAAACATTGGATTGAACGTACTTGCCAAACATTTGTTATATATATATATATATACAGTATATGTGTTCATGGAAAATGCAACTAGATAAAATTAATGCCGAAGACAAACTATGTTATTATAGGAGCCCCTCAGGTTCAACCCCTGGGGAGAGCAAGAACCCTTTCGCGTTCTCAAGAGAGCCCTCCGAGTCGTTTGGCACAAGGGTTTTGAAAGCAACCCAGCTAGGGTCATGGCTGTTCATTGATACCCGTCGATGGGTAAATCGGCCGCAGATCATTCCAATCAATCCCAGATACAAAGTCAGCCAAGCCGAAGAGGGTTCAAGTCTACTCGCATTCTGCTTGAGTCTGCCATCACTTGAATGAAAGTAGACTAAAGGCAGAATGAGACACAAGTGCTTGGAGATTTGCTATTCTAAAAGCCCCAATCACTTGATCTCCCCAGTCGCCTCTCCCCGCTAGGGCCTTGTGGCCAACGCCTTCGACGTGGTGGTGATCTCCTTGGTGCCTTCGGAGGGGGAAGTGAAGAACTCTTACATCCTTTATAAAGTGTATATATATAATATATATGTTATAAGATAGTAGTTAAAAAGTGCGTGTACGTGTGTATAGATATATTTGTATATACACGCATACATTTAGGTGTCAAGGCTTTGATGATTTGTTCAAAAGTTTTTTCCTAGCCCTCCTTCGTTCTGTTCAGTTAGGGAGTGACCATTGGTCCAAAAAGGAGCAGAGGAGAGAGAACCTCCAACGCACCGTTCAAGGTGCTCTCCTTCCTTCCCAGCCCGGAGAAACGCATCGAGATGGTGGCCAAAGCTCGCCGCTGCCTCCGGAACGACCGTGGCCTCCTGTTTGCTGCTCGGCGGCCCACGGGGCGCAAGCCAGTCGACATGTGGCGTTGCCTCGTGGATGTTGAGGTAAATTGAGGGGTGAAATGTGATGAATGACGCGAACATCGTGTTGAAGCTTGGAAAGAACAGTCACGGTGGATTGCAGTGTGGCATCATTTAACTGATGAGAACCGACGCTCCTTATGGACACCACGGGTGTTAATTGGTGTTGGAGGCGCTTGAATGCATGTGGGTTTTTACAGCGGACCTTGCACCGTTGAATGGCCAGTAAAAGAAGAGTTTGTGGGTTGCACCAAATTGAACATTGGTTGCTAAGGTGATCCGCTTTTCACAGTATCACAGTATCGCAGAAGCCCATGAACCACTTGCACCTGGACCCTTCAACACTTACCACCATGTAGTTTGTTTTCGAGCAGGACCCAAAGACCCAAAGCATCCAAAAAAGAGCAGATGAAACATCGACGTTGTAGAAAGGGAGACTGTCTCAACTTATCCGATTTGATCCGATTTTTTCGGTTTTGTCCATCTGACCAAAGTGGACCGGACTACCTCGCCGCGAGGTGGTGGAGGGAGGATCTGCCGTCATGGACGGCAGTTGGTATCAGAATCTTGGAGAACTGGATGTCCTCCTTTTATAGTTTGTGGTGTTCGTGTGTTTTGGTTGGAATCAAATGATGTTTAAACAGATGCTCGTGAGCAACTGCGTCTCAAGCAAGCCCATGTGAGAGATTGCTCAAGAAGATTGACACTCACGTGTGTTGGCTTCGTGTTATAGAGCTGGCACAAGTGTCACAAGTTACCTTTCATCACTACCAAAAAAACAAAAGACGTGTATGTGTTTGTGTGTGTGTGTTTCTCTCACAACTTCCATTTTGCAGGGCCCATAGCATGAGGATGAAAGCCCTGGCTCGCATCCCAATTCTTGTCAATCATTTGAATGGTTATGTAACTGGGGCGTTTCATGCGGTCTCAGGAAGGATGCAGCTGCCGAGTGGTCTTTAGCCATGGCCACATAGCTGCAAGGAATGTACGAGGGCTGTGGCCGAGAAGAACTGTGTGAAAGCTACGAGCTTTTGCTTACTGCAATGGTTCCTATGCAGGCAATATACGCAATATACCATGATTGTGATCCCATGATATCCCATGTATTCAGAATCCTGGACGTCCGGAGCGAAAAGACATCCGGTCATCGCAAGAGGACACCAAGCAGGACCAAGAAGTCGAATGCAGACAGCGAGACGTTCTCCCGGTCTCCAGAGACCGACGCGGAGGCCATCGCCCTTTGCTTCTAGTAGCCTTCTTAGTTATGTTCGTAGCGATGGCCTCCAACCTACTTGCGATGGCCTCCACCTTTATAATAGCTCCCCACCGCTCCCAGTGCTACAAGGAGGAGAGTCCCTTGACTCAGACATCCAACACAGTACATCCGTCCTGAAAAAGAGGCACTGCTCAGGTACCACACAGCGGTTCCACGGGTCCACAAGAATCGAAACAAATGCGAACTTCTGTTGCCCTGGAACTCTTTCCGTGCCTCGTTGCTTGCACTGCATTGCGCAGTCGTTGCCTCGAATGTGTTGAATTGGAGGTCGACTGTGCATCCTGCGGAAAGATGTGTCCCGTCGGACTGTCTCTCTTCTCCAGCGTGCTGTGTGCAATCCAGCGTGCCACAGGCAGGTGCTGTGTCGGCGGGTTTTCCAAAACGTGTTCCTGCGCTGTGCCTCAGCACATTATAGCTTTGTTGTGCATTCAGTTTACAGGCCGAAGGAAAAGGAAAGCAAAGAGTTTTAGCATCAGCAGGGGCGTGATTTAGGTCACACATCAGCCTAAAAGCAGATGCCAGCCAGGTTCTAGAAATTTTATCAAATTGTAAGATAGCTTAAGATAAAACCCACCACCAATTCTTAGGTTTACTTGTAAAACAATCAGACATTCATGAGGCTTTGGGTGCAGAAAATGATTTGGCGAAACATTGCGAAACCATTTTCTTGATTTCCCTCCCAAGACATCCAAAACCTGGGACATCACTTCAGCACATACCTTCAAAAAAAGAAACGCCAAGACATCCCGCGCTTCTTCGCAGAATTCCAGCATGTTCCAGCACCTTCACCTCTCAGGAGAGTGCCGGTTTCAAGGCCATGCACTTCGATGCCTCCTTGCGCGAGGGCCGGCGCTCCAAACGGGTTCTGCAGTGGATCCTAGCGCCTCGGTCGAAGCGTTCACCGAAGGTTCACCGGTTCACCGGACCCGCTTGGAGTAAGGGAGACAAGGGAGGACCATCACTTCCACCTGCCATTTCCACCTGGTTCGAAGTCCAATGTCCATCCTGCAGATCCGACCGAAGAAGAGGCAGTGGGTCAAACACGGCTGAATGACAAATCGGTTTCTACGGCTGTCCGCACGATAAGGCCTTTCGGGGTCGGAAGAACCTCAGGGACCCGCTCCAGCAGTGGAGCCACTGATTGCCACCAGCTCTTCCTACTCCAAGTGCCCGAGAATGTGAGACAACCGAGGAGACAAAGCCAGTGGAGACGACCAACCTGGCGCCGCTCTACGCGTGGGGACCTGGTGGAATGGTGGTGACCAAGGAATTAGCTGCAGAGAATGAGAATGAGACGTCCAGGTTCAAGTCCATGTTTCCTTACTAGCGGGCTTCCATGGTACGCTTTGATGCTAGCCAGTTTGCAAGCCACTGTGCATACGACATGTAGGGTAAGCCTTGGAAAGTGTGACCAGAGCCTGTTGATCCAACGGTCGCTTCCCCTTGGTCTTCAGTGAGCTCACAGTTGACATTCTCTTGGCTTGACTTCGTTGTTTCTTCATTGGTTTATATACTAGAAATGTCCTCCCAGAAATGCTGAGATCCTGTTTGGAGATCAGTTCCCTTGAATGAGCGACATGCCAAGGTCACCAAGGAGTTGGAATGGTGACACCGCCTTCGACTCTCCGGGCGAAAAAGGATGAAAACGGCGAGTCTACGGAGCTGACCGCGTTCGTCCGCGTAGACTCCGCGGCGAACGGGTGAGAGTTCGACTCCACGAGGTCGTAGACGTCATAGAAGATTGATCATAGACTGATAATCGGATGATCGAAATTGCAAGCTGGGGCATTCACTGTCGGAGGGAGGATCAATTCGACCATTTCGAATCATATGTGAGGGAATTCCCTGTGGATAAGAAGTCCATTTACTGGCCTACTTGGGCATTTCTAGAATGTAGTACCATCTTGTGACAAACTTTGGTTCGGATGGGACTTGGAGCGATGGTGAACATGCCACGTGTTGAACCGGGCTATGCCACCACGTCATTTGTACCAAAAGATATCATGCAGATACTTCTTGTTTACTGCTGCACGGTCTATTGAGCATCTTACTTCAACGCAAGTTCCTAATTCAAGAGAAACACCGTCTTGATAAATTTGTGGACACTGACACTGCCAAAGCCACTGCGCAGAAAGTTTGCATCACATCTCTCAGTGCGATGTCTTCCTAGGTTATTCAGTATGTTTGCCATGTACATACAGTATGGTCTTATCTTGGGTTCGTCCTGATACCTGTAACAGTCAGTCAATAAAACAATTATTTTGAAGAAAGGCCTTTAGGAACCATCATCATCCACTGTTACTGGTAATAGGAGAGACATCATGTTCCATACCGCTTGCCAAAATAAAGAGCTGGGAGACCAAAAACCATGGTTGTGAGGATTAGGAGGCAAGCATACGCCACCTCTGACGGTAGCAGGACTTTTCTCAGCGTTGGACACACCATCTTGGACTTTTTGAGGATCTGTGGCATGCTGTTCTCAGCTTGCCATGTCGAGATCCCAATCATCCACCATGTCCAGATTCCTCCAGGACTACTTTGTTCGTGGAGAGCTGGGCAACCGGAAGCCACTTGGCTTGCGAAGGTGCGATGCGTAGAGCGAGCGCACTTGGATTAAAGAAGCCTAAAGTCAGGAGTTTTCAATAGGTTTCACGACCCCTGTTTGGAGACACTCAGACTTTGCTGATTCCCTCACCTGGACTGAGATGTTTGCGTCGGGGAAGCTTCCCCAATCGCTCGTCTCGTCTCAGCACCGGTGATCAGGAGGACTGCAGGATTCAGGATGGCACCCCTTAGATCCCCTTAGGTAAGAAGTAGTATATAAGTAAGAAACGAGATGCACAAACTCCCAGAAGTTGGTGGAAAAACTGCAGTTCCCAATGTACTTTAGTATGCTTTTATATAGTTGTTACATGTTGTTACCTTGAATTGTGAGGTTCAGGTTCTTGGCACCGCAGTCTGTGCCGATTCAATCTCACAATGACTGGCCACCAGAGAGTATAGCCCCAAAACTAGAAAAACCATTGAAAAAGATCGAAAAAGAACATATGAAAAGACAACGAATATACATTTTGGGGGGTGGAGAGAAAGAAAAGAAACCACACAAAAAACAAGAAATCAGGGGAACCACTCAAACCATCTCAAACCATCCCCAATTCCACGCGATGTGTTCTCAGAAACCTGCACTGGTTCTCGCCCCAGGTTTGAAGCGCCCCGCTGGGTTTGGGCGCCCAGCGCGATGGACAGCAGCGTAAGTTAAAAAGTTTGACCCCCCCCTAAGATGGCACAGGGTCTGAAACTGTGTATCTCAGCAGCATACATGATTAGTAACTTAGCATAAATTATGTATCGATATAGTTATCAGAATTATGTACGTTGTTTTATGTTTCCTCATGTTTAAAGGTCTGTAGGCAGGTAAACGATCGCTGGGAACCTGGGGCATCCGGAGATGGGAGTCAAGATGACAGTGCAAATCCTGCGCGATCCATGTGCCCTGCTGTGCCCTGCAGGGTGACCCAGAACGATGACCAATACTACTAGTGGTTGGTTGATTAACAAGAGTAGTATTGGTAATCAAGTCTCCATTGAACAACTATTGAACTATTGGTTCAACTATTGACCAATACTAGTGAGCCGCGCTAAGAACCTCCCTGTTCATGTTTAGTAGTGGGCTTGTCATATGAATCCTTCGCGTAAGCAAAACTCTGATGTGCGTAAGGTTGCGTAAGCGTTTTTTGTGAGATGAAACTTGCGTAAGCCGCGTAAGCAAGTCGAAATTTAACATACATGTCGCATGTATTCTTGAAATGTTTGGAAATTCCATGGAGACCTTTGTTGATGAAGCCTTGCATTGGATCTTTTTCTTGGCACTTGGTATGGTCGAAGGTGATTGGCTCCACAGAAAGAAGGGTTCTTGGGGTTCCTGTAGTCATTTATATACAGGACATAGGCATCAGGACAGAGATTTTATGGGTCGACACATGCAAACATTACTCCTATAGCCATACAAACAACTCCCATAGCCATCAAGTCTACCAGCAGTTGTCAGACACACTATGTCACCATGCAGTTATCGGTTTTGGTGTCGGTAATACGGGTAAGGCGCGCGTAAGCTTCGCGTAAGCTGCGCGTAAGCCCCCCTCTCTTTTGTAGACTGTGGCCCACAATGCCTCCTAAAAAGCAGGCTTTTTCTGACTTGCAATCGCGCCAAAGGCAACGCATTGTCCAGACCATCTACGAAATCCTGGCTGCTCACTGCCCTACAGCCGCGGACGTAACAAACCTGTTGTGTGCTGTGCTTTGCTTGGAAAACAGATGGCGCGTAAGCTGGCGCTGTGGCCGGGTGCAAGATTGTGTTCGCGTAAGTGTTGCGTAAGCCCCTTTGTGTGCAAAGTGTGCGCGTAAGCTGCCATTGTGGTGGCGTAAGCCAGGCGTAAGCTGCTGCGTAAGGAAAGTCTTACGACATAGGCAGATGCCACACGTTTTGAGCACAGCTCTAGTGGTTGGTTGGGAAGACCGCTGAACCATCAAGTCTCTGGCATCGACGATAGACCATCGATCTATGGTGACCCCGGCGAAGTACCGAGGGATGGGTGGGACCGTTGGGACCCATGGTTCGCCCGAAGTGCTGGGACAGTCCGGCCGATATACTATGATTGACACATGCGATGAGCACATGAAAACACTTGCTCATCGCAAGTAAGAGAACATCATGACACTTGTTCGCGTGTTCGGCTTGGTGCCTCAGGCATCAATTGCTCAACTGTCGGTCAAGGAGCATCACAACGATACTTTGGGTCAAGGACCATCATTTGCTGGACCATCATCATCCATTAGTTGTAGGTGCTTAGGATATACCCGAGCTTGCCTCAGACGGAGCACAGCGTGACACCGCCTGAGGCGCCACCAGCGCTGGTGGTACTGCGCCTAAGGGTCGAGGAGTTCAGCTTGAGCGTTTACCAGGTGCGACCCCTTCAGCCGGAGTCGCGAACGGGTGACAATCCAGTGATCCATGATCCACTATGTTCCTAGTAGCGTTCTTGTTACTAGAAGCGATGCACTTGTTTCTAGTAGCTTCTTGTTACTACTAGCGTGGCACTTGTTTGGAGCCTAACTATAAGCATGCTTCATTTTGTTTGATAAGTGACCTGATGCTGAAAAATCTCCAATTTGACTTCGAGTGTTTTCGAGCTGAAGGTGCTGACCATTTAGGTGTCTTCGTAGCATTTAACATCATTTAACAGATTAGGAAGCAAATGGAAGCCTTCGAGTATGTTGTAGTGATTTTATGGTTTTGTATGTTTATCAGAAGAACCATGGTTGAATTCGATTTTGTATGAATTTGCTATGTTGTTTTTGATCTCCACCCATTCCCTTTGACCGCCAATCTATCTTTGCAGGGCGCCGACTTCCGCTTTCAAGCCACCAGCGAGGTGGACCAGGCACGGTCAGCTGGTGCAGGTGGATCAAAGCAACGACGAAGCCAACAATTAAGGCAAACGGGATGGTCTTCCTGGTCAAACAAACTGATTAAATATACAATTATATATATAATTATATATATTATAATTCAATCGGGAACAAACAGGAAGTGAGTCACGGAGTCAGGGAGTGATATTGTCTAATTAGTTGTAAACTACCTAGGAAGCGAAAAAGGAGAAAACTGGCGAACGTGCTTTCAGGCCGTGCATTGTTCCAGA